ATGTGCGCAGCTCTGCCATTGGCAAAAGCAACACCGTCGGGACTTCCATCTTGAGTTACCCGGCCTGTTCCCAACCTCATCCATAAAAGCCTTCCCTGACCTTAAGAGCAAAACGTATGTGGCCTCGGTAGACATGTGCGCCTTCGGTCTACAGACCCCAGCCGGTAAGCCCATTCGTAAACGAACATTGATATGTAGCACCTCCCAAGACTTGACAAAGAGTTTCGTGTCCCAGCAATGCAACCAACAGCATCGTCACCATACCTTGGCTGGAAGACTCCTGAAGGGTCTCCCCATGTCGCAATTTGCCGGATCGTTTTGCGAAGGATTCGCGAGCCATGTTGCAGGACACCTTGTGTCCAGCAACATAGATGCTGCAATGGCTGCCAATGCCGAGCCGCCCCTGACCCGTAAGCGATTTAAGACCTCGGTTGGGGATCCCCTTAGGATAGAAAGACCTGTGACCCAGAAGCGAGAAGCCGCTGAACCGGCTGCTGGCAGCCAGCGCAGTCATCCAATCCGTCGGCTCACTGAGCCATTGCAAGCCATGTCTGAGTTGCCCTGGGATGTGTGGGAGCCTGTCTTTGAGCTTGCTCAACGGAGCTCTGGGCAAGCCTCTGCTCTGGTGCCTCCTCAGAGCGAGCTAGCTAAGGAAGTCCAACGAGCTCTAGAGCCTAGAGGGATAGACGTGCTTCAGGTTTTCTCGGGGCGCAATATTCGGAACCTGCAGCTTCCCTTGGGGGCCCTCCCGGCTACCGTAGCTCCCTTACGCGTGAGTCTCGGCTCCCGAGAAGCTAGTAAGCAACTTCTCTGCCTAGGCAACGAGGATCGCACTACTATGGGGTCAGACCGCAAGAAGCTTAGGATTGGGGTTTACAAAATCTTGATAACTGTGTTCGGTAGACGCAAAGCTGAGACCGCTGAGCAGGAGCCTCCTGCTGGGAGCCCTGGTTCGAGTGTACCTGCCGTTTCAGCCTCCCCGCCTGACCTTGAGGGATGGGCTCCACCTCCGGTGCCTCTGCATGGTCCGGCATTTAGGAATCTAGATGCTGATCAGAAAACGCAGTTAGTTCGGATCCATAACAACTTGGGACACCCTGCCCCAACGACCCTAGCCAAACACCTGAAAGCCGCCGGAGAAGCCCAAGCCCTTGTCGATGCCGCGCTAGATTTCCAATGTGATGCTTGCTTAGAGTCTACTGAACCTCGACACCAGAGACCCGGTAAGTTGCCCGAGCCACTTGAGTTCAATGACTTGATTGGGATCGATGGTTTCTTCTTTAAGGGTAGATCGGGGTATAGGGCATACGTCATTCACGCCATTGACGAAGCAAGCTGTTTTCACCTTGGAAGAAGGGCTGTCTCTAGAGAAACCAAGCATGCCACCACGACGTTGGCAGAGTTTTGGCTATCATGGGCTGGAAATCCCCGTAAGGTTTATGTTGATCCCGCTGGAGAATTTAGATCGGAAGAGATTCTAGAGTACTTTCAGGGAATCAATGTAAAAACATTTCTTTCCGCGGCCGCCTGGCAAAGGGGACGGGTTGAGAGACACGGGGATGTAGTTAAGGACATGTTGGCTAGGTTAGACGCCCAGAGCCCACTTGCCAACGATGCACTGTTCGATCAAGCACTGTTGCTTGCCTTCCAGGCAAAGAATGCCCTGATGCGCCACAGAGGGTATGCCCCGGAGCAGATAGTGTTAGGCAAGTCCTTGCGGGTTCCTGGTAGCCTCACGTCAGATGAAGACTTAACATCTCATGCACTTGTAGAGGGATCCGACCTGGAAGCCGAACTCCACCGGCAACGACTTGATGTCCGCTGCCGTGCCCGACAGGTTTTCTGGGAAGCTGATAATAGTCAGACCATCCGTCGAGCACTTCTCCGCCGAAGTAATCCAGCTCGGGGTCCCTATAAGCCTGGAGACTGGGTGTTATACTGGATGCGTAAAGGGTCTCCAAATCGCCTGGCTGCTGGCCGATGGCATGGACCAGCCCGTGTTATTTCCCAGGAGGGCCAATCAATCACGTGGATTTCCCACGGTTCGATCATCCTGCGATGTGCCCCAGAGAACCTTCGACCTGCCAGTTTGCGTGAATGGCAGCAGTTGAGCACAGCAGATTTTTCCGATCCTCATAAGAATGCTGGAGGAGCAAGCTCCTTTGTAGATTTGACCGGAAATGAATCGAGTGCTCCTGTCACCAATGCGCCTGCACCTGCAAGCTCCAGCGGAGACCTCTTGGTTCCTTTGCCTACCCCAGTGCCCAGCGTATCTAATCCTGCGACAAACCCAATTCCTGATGATGACCTGACTCAGCCCGAACAAGAGCTGACTCCACAGGTCTCCGGTAATCCTGATCCACCAACCGACAACCGTGAAGTCGAGCGCGAGGTTGAGCGACAGCCTAACCACGCTGCACCTTCTATAGTTCTAAACGATAATCCAAATGCTTCTGTTACTCCCGCTGATCCTCTGCCGAGCGATGTTCCAGTACCCGACTCCGATGAAGGTCTTCTGACTGAGGCCATGGCCTGTACTCTAGTACCTGAGGAACTGCCTGAAGAGTCTGTACTGCTCTCCACTGAAGCGTGTGATGGAGACCTTCATACTTTCACGACTGTCCTGTCAGGCACGTCTGCCTGTGGTCCCCCTTTGGCCGAGGATAATCTGCCATATGTTGAACAGCCCTTGCAGTGTTCAGAGCAGCAAGCCTACTGCTTGGAAATTCCCATGAAGGCCAAGGACCTACGGAGATGGGCTCGAGAGCGAGCTCCGGAACAGCTTTCTTATCTTGCCACTGTGGGCAAGAGAGCGAGAGCTGAGGTACATGTGAAGGACCTCTCAGCTGCTGAGTTTCAGCTCTTCAATCAAGCTAAACAAAAGGAAATGCAGTGTTGGATTCAGACTTCAGCCATAAAATCAGTCCTTCGCCAGCGCCTGAATCCCGAACAAATTTTACGTAGCCGTTGGATCTTAACTTGGAAGAATCCTGAGCCCGGAGACACCCAGCGTAAAGCCAAAGCGAGACTAGTGGTCCTAGGCTACCAAGACCCAAAGTTAGTGGATGTTTCTCGGGATGCTCCCACGTTGTCAAAGGAGGGTCGTGCTTTGGTCCTGCAAACCATAGCCTCCAAAAGGTTCGAGCTGAGTTCTTTCGACATAAAGACAGCTTTCTTGCGTGGTAAGGCCGATGAAAACAATCCTTTAGCCATGGATCCTCCCAAGGAACTTCGCGAAGCCCTAAAGTTAAAGGACAATGAGGTGTGCCAATTGTTGGGCAATGCGTATGGAAGGGTAGACGCCCCCTTATTGTTCTATAAAGAGCTTAGCAAACAGCTACTAGAGTTGGGCTTTGTGCGACATCCTTTAGAGCCATGTGTGTTTCTGCTTTACACCGGCTCGGTGCTCAATGGGATTCTGGGAGTCCATGTGGATGATGGGGTTTGCGGGGGCGATGCAGTGTTTAGCCAAAAGATACAATCCTTGCAGACTAAACTTCCTTTTGGCAGCCGCAAACACCGCAACTTCGTTTTCACTGGCATCCATCTTGAGCAATTTCCGGATTTCTCTATCCGAGCTTCTCAGGGTGAGTACGTTAAGAACATCCCCCAACTGGACATAGGGCGTGCCCGTAGGATGCAACCTGCTGCACCCGTCACGGAAAATGAAAGATCCCGTCTTAGAGGTATCATTGGCAGCCTCCAGTACGCAGTAACACACACCCGACCCGACATGGCGGCGAAGCTTGGTGAATTGCAGACGCAAGTCACAACAGCAACTGTGCAGACGTTGCTACTTGCCAACAAGGTTCTGCGCGAGACCCAAGAGCAAGCCGATGTGTGTATTCACTACTTGCCTATCTGCCCTGAGGATATAACCTTTGTGTCATTCGGCGATGCGTCTTTCGCATCTTCCAAGAACCTGAATTCGCATCAGGGAGCCCTTGTCTGTGCCACTGACAGTAGGCTAGATAAGAACCAGGAAGCCCCCTTGTCTCCCTTGGTCTGGACCTCTAAGAAAATTCCTCGGGTTGTTAGGTCCACCCTAAGTGCTGAGGCATATGCGATGTCAAAGGCAGTTGACATGTTAGGCTGGATACGTGCTCTGTGGGGCGTGGTTCATGTGCCTGAGTTTCGCTGGCAGAGCCCTGAGGAAAGTTATAAGAAACTTAAGAAGGCAATCATCGTGACTGATTGCAAGTCGCTATTCGATCTTGTAACTCGCTTGGCGATGCCCGCATGCGAAGAGCACAGGACTACGCTTGAGGTGCTGTTAATCAAGCAAAGGTGTTCTGAGAACGCCAGCTTTCGCTGGATTCCGACAACACTCCAGGCTGCAGATTGTCTGACAAAGGCCATGGACGCCACCTTGTTGCGTACAGTGTTGGCTCAAGGCCGCTTCAAACTTTACGACACAACTCAAGCTCTGGAGAAGGATGCACAGAGAAAGCAAGCCATTGCTTGGTTATCACAGCCCGCCGCAGCACAGACTTGACTTTGAGAGTTGCTTGCCCCTGTCCTCCGTGGAACGAGTCCTTTTTCGTTACGACTCCCTTGACTGTACAGGCAATCGGGATGCACTTGTCCCAATAAAATTGGGTCAGTGTGAATCCGATGCAGGATCTGCCGTTGGACATGTACATCTCGATTGCTCTCTGGCCCAAGGACCAGAGGTGGGAGGACAGTGGCGTTAGGTGACGCATGGTCGCTTGAGTGCTGGCAAAACGGCGAGGCCGCCTTTGTGACTGCGTGGGGACACGTCTTCAGAGTTTTGGCAGACAGAGTCTGCTCTTCTTCTTTTATCTCTTCAGCATTGCGATCGGGGATCACATTTGCTGCAGAGGTTTCGTCTACCAGTGGGACTCCTTAGGGAGTTCACAACCCGAAGACCCTAAGACCCTAAACCTCAGGCATGAGGGTTTAGGGCTTAGGGCCTTGGGGGTTCAGGGCTGATTCCTTGAAAGACCCCTAAGACCCTAACTCTGCGGCGAGCCAGGCGCATTCAACGTAGTTCTCGGCGAGGAGGTGCTGCCAATCCGGCCAGTTGGTAGTGGTCTTCCATCGCACTATACCAGTATCCACGAAGGAACCGAACCTGGAGGAGTGATGCGCGGGGCTTTGGGCTTCAGAGTTTTGGGGTCTTGGGGTTTGGGGAGTTTTACTGAAGAACAAAGGCCGACTACCACGAAAGATCATCGGTATTGCCTTCATTACTGAAAGCTACTATCAATCTTCATCCCTAAACTCTTAACCCTGTAGTTCCGGTTTTGGAGGCCTTGGACAGTCCCAGGGCGGGGTCTTGGTTTCGACGCATGCCCTACACCTTCTGAGGGTTTAGGAACTGCAAACCCGAAACCCTTAAGTGTTGGATCGGCCGTCCAGTGTTGTGGGGAGCTACAGGTTAACCTTTGTGAGTATATCGTGGTTATACAAGGGTTAGGGTTTAGGGTTCAGAATGTAGGGGTTTGGGATTAGATTAAGGGGCTATAGTACCCCGAAAAGGTTAAAGGTTACCTCCTCTGCTACAGTACTAGGTCCGTGGAAGCCGGACCAGTGCACTGCAAAACCCCGAAACCTAAACCCTCCGAATCCCAAAAAACAGGAAGTTTCTATCCCTCAACCCTGAACCCCAAATCCCCAAAGCCCCACGCCCTCTCAGAGCATTTAGTCTAGTCCTCTAGATCAAGCAGCTGGATCAGCGGCGCGAACTTGCATGCCGTCTGGCTCGTTCCCGTGTCGCCTGCTCCGGGGTGTAAAATTTCTGGAGGATTTCAAGACTTCGGGTTTCAGCTTCGGCAAGTTGGGTTCAGGGTTTAGGGTTTCGGGGCATAAGTTTTAGGGTTGGGGCTTAAGGGCTAGAGGCTTCGCAAGTATAGGGTTGCGCGTTTGGTTGTGGCCATGGAGGGTACAGAACCCTGAACCCTAAACACGAAACCCTGAATCCTGATCCCGAAACCCTGAACTATCAGCATACATATTCAAATTACTACTACCATTACCATTACTATTACTCTTGCTATTACTCTTTGAAACCATGATCAACCGAAACCATCCTGCGTCGAGATCCTCCATGCAGGAAGCTTCCTCCTTCACAAAGCCGGTGCCAACAGCCGCGCGAACCCCAAAACAAAACTACAACCTAAACCTCTAAACCCTGACCCCTAAAGCTTAAACGCCAAACCCTAAACCCCTAAACCCTCAACCTCAAACCCTAAACCCCTAAAGCCTGAACCTCAAACCCTAAACCTCCATAGGCTAATTTGTTACAAGTTTCTTGAGGCTCGAGCCGAAGCCGTGTTGGCATACTACGGTGCTTCTGAGAGCTGGGATGCAAGGCCGTCCCCCTTTGGGGGCAGAGGGCGTAAGGCTCGGGGTGTAGGGCTTAGGGTTTCATGTAGGGGCCTTAATAATTAGGATGGGGTTTTGGGGCCCATTATACTATAGTTATAATAAGGAAGCCCCCAAAATAGACCTCTAGTAGCGTCTTGAGCCTTGGGAGAACTACGGGTGCACCTGCAAAGAGCTGGCCGAAGTCCAAACTGCTCAGCGCGCCGCTGGTGCCGCAGTAGGAGGAGAAGGGCTTGTGGAGGTCCTCGATCAGGGGTTAGGTTTAGGGTTTAGAGATCAGGGTGAAGGGCCTCGTGAGGGTTCCTACAACAAGGGCTACTACGAAGAGCTACTAAGAGGTTGCTATAAGGCCTACTGTAAGGGGTACTATACGGAGTACGTCAGCCCACTTATGAGGAAGACGTGACAGGCACATGCAAGTTTTGTCTGTAGTTATCAGTGGGGTTGTCGGGACTAAGGATTCCCTGAAGGGTTCCTATAGGGGTTTTGGGGTTTAAGGGTTCAGGGGTTATAGTAGGGTGGTGATAAGCGGTGTTATAAGTCCCCTAATATGAGTTACATACCCTACGTGTAGCCCTACTTATAACTACCCATGAACCTCCCAGTGAAACACGGAAGTACCAAAACCCACCGCCCTCACAGCAATAAAAACAACCAACACCGAAAACTCGAATGTAGGGACCTGATGAAGAAATAATTGGAGTTCTTTCTAGAATCCTACTATTTGGGGGTTACAGGGCCGGGGTGTCTGAATCAGGTTTCTAACAACGACCTCAGGAGATTGTTCACAGTCCCCCCAATACAAGTTGACCAGAACTGCAGCCTTTGACACTCATACTCTCGCAAAAGGCGAGAGGTGGAAGCTGCGTGACTCCGTGACTTGTTCTTCACGTCACCACCCCGGGCAGACAACTCTGCAGCTACGTCTACGAGACTGAGCCAGCCGGTTCTCAAGTACTCGCGCGTAGCGGATCTGCTTTTGCCAAAGCGTCCACAATCATCTTCTGGTGAGAAACCCATCGGACCGTAGACCTGGTCTTCTGAAGGTCCTTGACGATGATCGCCAGCCAATGAGCTTCTGCGGTCCTGCTTTGCCTTCCGGGAGTTCTTTAAGGAGGGAATCGTACACGGACTTCGCATGCATCGGTGACCAGGCATTGGTCGCTCCACGCCTGGAGATCACACTCCGTGCGCATCACCAGCATGTGGTGGATCCCAAGCCTCAATACCGAGAGCCCTGAGGCCCTCAGTCCTAAAACCTCAAACCCAGGTCTAGGGCTTAGGGTTTAGGGCTTAAGGCGTTTGGGGTTTAGCGTTTAGGGCTTTTAGGGTTTAGGGGCGTTTAGGGTTTAGGGTAGCCCGAATGAAACCCTGACGCACTAAACTCGAAACCAAAAACCCTAATCCGATGCACCTGAGTCCGCTCATCCACCTCGATGTGCAGATGCCACATGTCTGTCGGCCTTTTGGCGTCTTAGGAGTTCACGGTTTGGGGGTTTAGGGTTTAGGGTTTGGGGGAGTTAAAGGTTTTGGGCTTTGGGGTTTAGAGTTTTGGATTTTGGGATCCAAAACTCAAAGTTTGGGGCTTGAGGACCTTATCCACCAGGATCTTAGTTTGGCGCGAGCTGACCACACATCTGCACGCAGATCTGCGAACCCGAAGAAACGTCCAGACACAGTCAAAGGATTGAAGGTGTTTTACTCAGAGACTCCAATATTATCCCTGAATTGTGGAATATACCTTAAGTCATATTCGGGATCCTACTATAACTGAACGTATATATCCTGAATTAAGGGATATACCTAAAGTGTTACTAGGGATCCTACTGTCCTACAATAACTTAGGGTATATTCCTTAATCATAAGGGATATTGGAGTCTCTGGCCTCTGGGTACAGCAAGAGGCGAATTCTGCGTTGACAAGCGTACCTTTGGCGCCTGGCGCTACAACTGCAAGACCTGTAACCCTAGGTATCAAAATCAAAATAGCCCAAAAAGCCTTATATGATATGGTCTTTGGGCCCAAAAGCCTTCATATATCAGTCCTCAGATCCCTAGGGTAAGCAAAACGCATAAGTTTGTGCGGCTCGGCTGGGGTGTAGGATGATGAGTGCGTGAAGGGCATTCCGGACCAGAGCCGGCAAGAAGCATGAATTCATAGGATTAGGGCTTGGGGGTTTTGGATTCGGGCTTGAGGGATGGGAAAGCATACGCCCAAAGCCTTCAATCCAAAACTTTAAACGCCCTAACCAGCCCCCGAAATCCTGCACATTCTTGAAGCCCCGAAGGCCAACTCCCCCCCACAACCCCTTCCGTAAGACCCCCTATCAGTTCCCCTTCTAGACGAAGCGGCAGCTCAGCCGGTTCCAGATGCTGGGCGGCATCCGTCCTGGGAGGTGACCCGACAAGGACGCTTTCAGCCGGATTTTGAGGCCTTAACCCCAAAATCCAGCCCCAAATCCGAACTTCGGCCCTAAACCCTGAACAGTTCCTACACTTCCGTTAGGGAGCTCCCACACAAGGGGCCGAGGGTTGCGCGAAGAGGTGCCTACAAGGGTTCTACAAGAGCTGTGGGGCCTCAGAGCTTCTTTTTTGAATTGAAAGGGGGTTTAGGGTTTAGGGTTTAGGGTTTTGCGTTAAGAGTTTAGGGTTTAGGGTTTAGAGTTTAGGGTTTAGGGTTTTGCGTTAAGAGTTTAGGGTTTAGGGTTTAGAGTTTAGGGTTTAGGGTTTTGCGTTAAGAGTTTAGGGTTTAGGGTTTAGAGTTTAGGGTTTAGGGTTTTGCGTTAAGAGTTTAGGGTTTAGGGTTTAGAGTTTAGGGTTTAGGGTTCTATGAGGGTTATGGGGTTCAGGAGGTTGGGATTGGGTCTAGGACTTGAGGTTCTAGACTTTGGGTTAAGGGAGCGGGAATTGAAGTTGAGGACTATTGAGGGCAGGGGAGTTTTGCGGACTCACAGTTTGAGCTGCGGGTGGTTCTGCATGAGGGTCCTTCCTACGAGTACGGGTGTAGGCTCCGTGAAGGTTGTGTTTGAGCTGATCGTTTGGGGTTTACGACTGACTGTAGGGGCCGTATATAAAAAGTACAGAATAGGGTGTTGTGGAATAACATATAAGGAACCCCCAAAACAATCTAGGTAATTATTTAGTCCCCTATAGCAGGGTTTACAGGGTTTAAGGTCAATGCTGCAAGTTGACCTGGGGACTCTCACCGGATGCAGACCCATGATGTACAAACCATTTAGAGCCCCACGGCTGATGCTATAAATCCTGCATTTCGCATGTAAGGGATGGACCATTATGCCCATAGTTTAGGGTCCTTAAGGTAATGCAGGATTTATATCATCAACCGTGGGGCCGTTGACGGACAGCAAGAGGAACAAGAACACGTAGTATGAGTTTTAACATAAAAGCCCTCAAAAACAGGGAGTCTATCTATCAGGGGTCTACACCCAATAGTCCAAGGCCAAAACCCGTAGCCCTACACACCAAACCCTTCCAAACACCCACCTCTAAGGTTTAAAGTCTGAGTTTCGTGGCTCAGGGCTTCAGGTAGGATTTAGGGCTTAGACTCGAAACCCCAACTTCCTAAACCCTTGCGAAAAAGTCCAAAGGGTTGGGCTTAGACCCTACAAACCCTAAACCCTACCCCAAACGCTAAACCCTAAACCCCAAACCCTAAACCCTAAACCCCAAACCCTAAACCCGAAACCCCAAACCCCAAACCCGAAACCCTAAACCCGAAAAGTTTTCAGTGACTTTGAAAGTCCCAAGGGTCGCGTTGCACTCCACGTGGATCAGGCCCGAGGTGTCGCCTTTAGTGCTGAGGCACTGGTCGGCCTGCGATCGGTTTGGGGTGCCGGGTTTAGGGGTTTAGGGTGGAGCGTTTAGGGTGTAGGGTGTAGGGGTCTAGGGTTTAGGGTTTAGCGCGTGGGGTTTAGGGCGTAGCGTTTACGGTGTAGGGCTTTCGGTGTTTAGGGTGTAAGGTTTAGGGTTTAAGCTTTACCATTTCCCGTCGTGGTTCAGGGCCTACGCTTTCACATCCCAGCAGACACAAATGGCCTAAGTGGGGGACTGAGGGCTGGAGGCTGTTTGACTCCTGGCTTTCCATAACCTTCTGATAGCCCTCCCGAAAGGCTGAGGGCGCCTTAATAATTAGAATGGGTTTTGGTGTATATTAATAGTAGCTATCTTCACAATAAGGAACCTCTAATTTTTAAGGCCCCTACATTGGGGGCCTCCCTGTCGGCATGAGGGCTCAGGCGTTTCTTGGTTTCGATCGCAACGCCTGTAGCCTTGGGGCATACCCAGAGACTCCAATATCCCTTAATTAAGGAAAGGAATATACCTTAAGTTATAGTAGGATCCCAAGGTATATTCCCCAATTAAGGGATAGGGATTTGAGTAATTTGTACTATGCATGTAGCAGAGAGATAAAGAGAAGAAGAGCCTCACTAATTATTCAGGCTCCTACATTACCCAACCGTCCTTCTTCTCCTCAATGATGACGATTCCTGGGTTGCGGAGAGTTTGGGGTTCAGGGTTTAGCGGTTTAAGGTTCTGAGGCTTAGATTTAAATTTAGGGCACTGAATACAGTACAAGACCTTTCAACAGTCCCCACAAATTCTGGCGAAGCCTCAGCCAACACACATAACAAGACACGTTCAACACGCCGTGAACCCTAAACCCTGAACCCTAAACCCTAAAGCGCAGACCGCGCCAAGCGCCCCACAAATCCAAGGCAACGGGTTGAGGGCTGAGCGTTCATTCAGGGTCCTTGTGCTACTTACACGGATGCCTGGCCTTTCCACCCGCCGTGCATGAAGCTTTTAGATGAGTTCTCTAAGGCAGGGTCCCTGTCTAGGTTTCTTTGCACAAGTTTAAGGGTTTTAAGGGCGCTAAGAGTTTAGGGTTTTAGGGTGTGCGGCTAGTTCAAGGTTTACGATCCGCAGCACATCCAGGACAGTGCCAAGCTTTGAGTGCCAGCTCTGGTATCTCCTAGGTTCAGGGTTTCGGGCTTGGGGCCAGGGTCTAGATTGATGACCCCACAGACCCTACATGCTGCCTGTGACTCGGAAGACCTACGTTTTTTGTGGAACTATTGAGGAGCCCTAAACATGTGGGCTCTTTCGGCTACAAGTAAGCCCCCTACACCCTAATGTTAAACCCTAAAGCCCCACTAGACTCCATCTGAGGTGCCCTTGCCACCGTTGCCACCAGCTCCTCCGTTACTGGTTGTCGTGGAGCCACCGCCACCGCCGGAGCCCTTGCCGTCCTCTGGTGGGTTGTGTAAGGTCTTAGACGGGTGTGTAGGGCTTAGGGTTTAGGGTGCTGCTGCTGTAAGGGTTTTCGGCGTTTTGAAAAGGTTTTGGGGCTGTGGAACCCAAAAGCCCAAACACCCTGAAAATCTCCGAACTCCTGCACGAGTATCCCAGCTCACAAGAAGCCCTTTACAATATCTACAGTCCTAGACCGACACGAACAATTCTGCAACACCTATACCAGAAATCTTCAAGCTAACCTGAGTGCATGTAAAACACCTCAACACACGAACCCAAATAAAAAAAATTGCGTCCTCGCCGTGTGTTCCTGGGTTCTTCCCCCCCGGTGTGCCGCAGTCGCCACCACCGCCTTGCCCACCTCGGAGTTGAGAGGGTGGTTCGATTGAGGTTTTTTCAAGCAGGATCCACAGCTTTTGCGCGGCCGCGTGGGCCGCCTGAAGTGCGATGGTACAGGGAAGTGTTACCATAGGGGGCCTTAATAATTGGATATAATTAGAATAGGGTTTTGGGCCCATTATACTGTAATTATAGTAAGAAACCCCACAATACTACTGGTAATTATTGTCTAAGCCCCTATAAAAGGGCACAGGGAAACCCACTGTGCAGAGCGCGGAGACGCAGGGGCTTTTGGATTCCAGCTTGTCTCAGGACTCAGTCAAAATTCAGCTTTCAACACCCTTCGTCCGAAACTCGTTTAGGACCATACAGACCTTCAGAAGAGCAACATGGAAGAACCCCTAGAACCCTAAAGCCTCAAACTCTTGAACCCGAAAACCCTGAAGCCCCAACCTCTGTAAAGCCCCAGAGCCCCATTGGACGCAAATGCACCCTGAACCCGCCGCAGCCCCGACTCAGCTGTCTTACTCAATCTTAGACGAATACAATCATAATTCATTTTGGTACTAATACCAATACTACTACTAGCAGGAAGGATACTACAAATGCGAATGCGAATCCGAATATAAATACTCAGACTAATACTAGCGCTTGCCAGTACCAATACTAGCACTCGTACTGGTACTGGTACTAGTAGTACTAGTACGCCAATAGCACTAGCTCTAGCAGCGGCACTGGCACTAGTACTAGTAATCGTCCTACGATCACACTCAATAGCCAAAAATCATAGAGCTCAATTAGTACTTGTAATCGTCCTGCAATCATACCGAACAGCCAATAATGATAGAGCTTTATTAGTACTAGTAATCGTCCTAATATCATACCCAAGAATGGTAGCGACAGCCCTCATAGCCAAGCTCCCACCTTCTCCGCCGGAGGAGCACGCAGGATCGTGGGAGCCACCCCCACCGCCGGCCGCATAGAAGTCGCAAGTTCCGAGGATGCAGATCCTTAGAGTTTTCCGGCGCTTTTTGGGCGCCCTAAACCCGAAACTCTAATGTCGGTTTAGGGCTTTCGGGGCGCAGGGGTTAACGGTTTACGGCATTTTGAGCACTGTTACCAAGGAACCGCTGGCTTTTTGGGAATAGGATCCTCAGGTTGCTGTCCTCTTTGGAGAAATCTGGTTTTAGGGTGTCTCGTCTAGGGTGGAAGTCCAAGGTGTGGGGCTCAGGGTCTTCGGTTTATAGTTTGTCGGGTGGAAAGTTTAGGATTCAGGGGTTTCCGTGTGGGCCTATAGCTGGCTCATTTTTGGGGTTTGCATGTCGCTCTGGACCTTTGGACCATTCTGCGAGTGACTGAGTGAGTGGTTAGGGTTTGGCTTCAGGTTCAGAGTCTATATAAAGTACAGGGTTTAGGGTCTTTTAGGTGTGCAGTATGGGGTTTGGCTGCTTCCGCTTTGACTGTTCTATGACCATTGGCACACGGGTCGAAGCTTAAGGCCTTGAGGAAGGTCGCAGCCAAGATTCAATTTGCCTTTTCCTTGGCTGCTCTGTCGGAGCTAGCGAAGGAAAGCACAGTGCCTAGTGATGTACAGTTGAGACTTGCTGCTGATGTACTATCTTGACCCGATTATCGCTGCAATGCGCAAGCACTAAGACGAGCATACGGAATACACTGTTTGCCGCAGTGAAGCTCCAGCTTTCTTCACGGCTGAAGGGTTTGGGATCTACAGATACAAACATGAACAGGAGACGATTGGCTCGTCTCGACTTGCTGTTGCAAGTGCTTACACAATTCTTACACAAACCCATATGCTGCGCACACAGTCATCATCATTTCTCATAAACCTACCAGTGTCGAAACAATGCCACCACCACTTATGCCATTGGTACAACGATTGCAGGTCAGACTGGCGATGGGAACGACTGCTGCTTCTGCACGCTGTTGCTAGCCGTTGCCTACCCTACTGATTCTTGTAATGGGTGGCAGAAGCTGAACCTGAAAACCTTTCTGACTAAGTCTCAAAAAACGGAGGAGATACTGGGCGCAAAGCCTAAAACCAAAACAAACGATGGGTGTCAGGCTGTAAGCCCTGGCACACCCTAACCCTAAGCGAGCTTGTCGATGTCCAATCACATCTGAACTGTCAGAGGAGAAGATGGGTAGCACCACTCCGAACTCCAAAAGGATATAATGTTGTCTGCCATAGGCTGTGCGCAAAGCGCGCGGGACTGCACAAAAGGCAACACTGGTGCGTTTCTATAAATACTGCGACTCTCTGTTGCCATAAATTGGACTCCGACCATGTCACTGATTACGACTGCATTGTACAGTCTACAGTGCCAATGGCTCTGGCAATCACTACACCCGTGCTGTTCGATTGAAACAACTCCCTGCTGGGCATGCTCTTTACCATGTCGTACATCGTGCTGCTGCTCTCTGCCCTTCTTGTTCCGCGGCAGCTTAACAATTTCCCCCTTGAGTCCTGGTTCGTCCTCATCCCTATTGCATGTAACATACTTTTCCGGTTTACTACGTGCTGCTTCCTCTCGGGCCCGAAGCAGTATCACAACTGCTACTACTATTGCAACTACTGCACAAATACTTATTGCCATCCGTGCTGCCGCTCATGTTGCTCCATGTCTGTATCTTCGAGGCCCATGTTCCCAAGATTCATTCTATTGTGGACCCTAAACCCTAAACCCTAAACCATGATTGCTTGCAAAGCATTCCAGTCGCACTGCCCCTTTGGAAAACCTCGTAGGATGATGAGCACAGAACCCTGACTTCTAAATCCGAAGCCCTCAACCCTAAACTCCATAAACCCTAAACTTTGAATTGTAAAGCTTTCAAGACTTCCAATTTGAAGCCCTGAGCCCTAACCTCGACACTCTCAAGCCTCATAGGAAGCTCTTAACCCTCAATTCTAAGCGTAGAATCCAGGGCCTTAAACAATAACCCCTTTAGAACCATACTACAAATACTAGTTTTAATATTCTCTTGGGTTGTATGTGAACAAAATAAAAAACCTAAGGAGACTGTAGTAAACCCTGAATCCCTGAACCATGGACTGACAATCCCAGCCGCCACCATCACCGCAGTGAGTGCTGTTGCCAGATCCACCGACCTCACCTGCGGTTGTGCTGGAAAGGCTTTGGGGTTTAAGTTTTAGGGTTTAGGGTGCTAGAAAGGTTTCGGGGTTCAAGTTTTAGGGCTTAGGGTCCAGGCTTAGATTTTTCCATACAGCCACGACCCCTGCGAGAGCTCCACAGCGCTAAACCCTGAGCACGAAGCGCATATACTACCGCTACGAAAATATATGAAAAGAAGGTCCGACGGTTGCAGAATAGGACAACCCTCGTAAGGGACATCCCAGAAACTCTGTATCCGTGATCGGCCCCTTATGTCTATCAGTTTTTTTGGCTTTCATGACTATAACTTACTCCATAAGTATAGTATGACGTAATAAAGGTGCTTTAATAAGTAGAATAAGGTTTTGGGGCCCATTATACTGTACTTATTATAGGGAAGCCCCAAATAGTATAGGTAATTATCAAGGCCCCTATACCAAACCACCCGGTCTCGGCGAAAGCCCCGATCTCACCTGCGCCGCCTCCTCCTCCCGCATTCCAGGTGCCTGAAGCTGGGGCGGATCCGGGCTGTTATGGTTCAGGGTTTGGGGTTCAGGATTTAAGGTCCGGGGTTTAGGGTTCAGGGTTAGGGGCTTTTGGTGACCTGAGAAATCCATGACAACAGGTCTGAAAAGGTATACTTGCCGCCCTTTGGTCGGAGGGTGTTGGAAAATCAAAACTTTTTTCGAGGTTCCTGGGTTTAGGGTTTAGGGATTAGGGTGTACGGATACCTGAATGGGGGGAAGTGGCCATAGCCATTTCTGCACGTGCCTTACCTCGAACCAGGCATGTAAGCACACTGGCCAGCGGTCTGGCATCAAACGGCGCCGTCGCCCAAGCAATCAGATTGGACAGGGAGTAGAGCTCTTTACACGGCTGCATCATGGATGGCGCTTGCAGCTCCCGGCATACCAAGCCAAGCGCGTAAACTTCAAGCGCAGGTCTAGCATGCCCATCCTGTCCGGAAGATAGTAGGCAGGCGTGCCACCCAAATTCGTGTCTCCGGGGGCCGGCAGCTGCAGTGCATCTCCGAAATCGGACAGCTTGATGCAAACATGCGGCTGCCATGCCATGATCAGGATATTGCTCGGCTTGATGTCTCGATGAAGCCCCACACCGCGAGCCCCAAAACCCTAAAGCCGGAACCCCGATACCCTAAATCCTACCTGTGGCCCAAAGGAGCTAACGAACAAGGAACGACATGTAGGAGCCATCATGACAATAATGAACCTTAACCCTCAACCCTAAACCTCCTAAACCCTAAACCCCCAAGACCCAAAATCCCTAAATCCCTGAACCCCTAAACCCCTAAACACTAAAACCTTGAACCCGTAAACTATACCTAATACAGACCACTGGGCGCGACACTCGCAACTGTAGATCCTCATGCCCTCGCAAATCCCGAAGCTCTAAATTTATCAGATCCTAGAATAGGATCGCCAGTAACAAAGGACACAAAAGGGGTCCCGTTTGGTATTGGGTAGTTTGATAAGGAACCTAAGACGACAAAAAGGTTAAAAGGGCCCACTGGGAGACCCAGTACAGTAATTCACTCTGAAGACCAATCCCAAAATCCGAAACCGCACCCTCCTAAACTAAACCGTACACACCTTGCCTGTAGAGAACCTTCTGCCTTTACAAAATTCTAGCAACCCTGCCTAAACCCTCAACCCTAAACCCTGAACTCGCAAACCCTGTGCCCGAGCGGGCCCTGACCGTGGCCTGTGGTGCCAGACCCGCCGTTGTGTCCAAAGCCGAACTCCCCGGACTTCCCCGGTTGCGAGTTTTGCTGGGCCTGTCGAAAGGGTTTAAAGCTTTAGGGTTTAGGGTTTGAGGGTTTTGGGTTTAGGCAATAAGGGTTTAGGGCTTAGGGTTTAGGGAAAGACTTCGGGTTTAGGGCCGGGAGCTCAGGATCCTCGAGTTTAGGATTAAAGATTGTGGATCTATTTGGAGGTTCACGGGTAGAAAAAAACTAAGTGTAAGTAGAGACATAAGTCCCGTAACATGGGTTATGAGTATAGTTACCCTACTCATACCCCTACTCGTAACTACCCATGAACCCCCAAGTAGGATTTAGGGTTTCAGGTTTGCGTGTTTGGAGCAATCCCCAGCTCAATGCAAGCTTCGGGTGCTTAGGGGGGTAGGGGTCTAAGGTTTAAGGTTCAAGGGGGGTCTTCGGTCTCGCTGTGATGCAAACCTTAAGCCCGAACGCACCGACCGGTCTCCTGAGAATTCAGGCCTCAAGTCTTGTTGGAGGGGAATCCCGTTGAACCCGACACCCCAATCCCGGAAGAATCGAAAACATAGACCCCCATATTTCTGCGGCCCTAAACCCCAAAACCCTCAACCCTGAATCCTAAACGCCTCGACCTCTTGCACGGTCTATGGAAAGTCGTCCCTGTTGATACCCTGCTGTTACCTCTCGCAGCTCTCTAACCGCGAAGTTTCATGACTGCAGGGTATCATCACCAGCATCATTCATGATCATTCATCGACATGCCCGTACCAATTCCTGTCACCCACCTTGGCAAGCACTGACCATCACTCGCAGTCGTAATCGCACTCGCTGTCGTATTCGCAGGCATACTCTTAGCTACACTGGCAGTTGTAGTCCTAGTCGCACAAGTTGTAGCACACGTAATAGCCGCAGCCGCAACCGTCTGCCATAGCCGCAGCCATTGTCATAGCCGTAGCCGAAGCCGTAACAGCACTGGAACCATGTAATAAAGGCGCAGCAGCAGCAGCTAATGCCGGCGGCCATTACCAAAACTCCAACCAGGTTTGTCATAAGGTTAAGTTGCTCATTGCGCTTATGGTGCTGGCTATTACCGTCAACAGACATGTTGCCATGGCAGACAACATGACGCACGTACTTGACTAGGAGTCTGCTAAGGGCTGAAGCCATGACATGACTGTAGCCAAAGCCCTCAACTGAACTCGAATGGGTGGGGTAGTCTGCTTGGAACCTCCCCGCCAATTTCGCCATACTTGCCACCGCCGCCGCTTCCGCCATTGTGGCCCTGCCAGCTAGAAATGGTCTAACGGGATGCATAGGCCTTTTCAAGATGGATTATATACCTTTCTTCTGGCTCCGTATAGTAAAACTCCTTGTACATATACCATGAGTGATTCGGCACTCGGGTCTTTCGGGGCTTGGGGATTTCGGTGGTTTGCGGCTTGGAGTGGCCTAGGCCGAGTATGTCAGAGTTTAGGGTTTCGGCAAGTCGTCTTAGAAAACCGTCAAAGTCTCCTAGCAAGTTCAGACCGATTCCTTGCCTCTCAACTCTTTGAGACTATGAGCGCTCAAGTAGCCTAATCCACCGGATGTGACATCCATGAACAAATATACTATACTATACTGTAGTATACTATAGCATAATAGTATACTAGAGTATACTATTCTATAAAGCCCGGTTGTAGAATCCCAAAATTTAGAGGGTTCCTTCAAAGGGTTCTATAATAGGGGCCTTAATAATTAGATTAGGGCTTTGGGTTGTGCTATACATATTGTTTATAAATAGCCCGCAAAGTCGTATTGGTAAATATCATTTAGACCCTTACAGTAAACCCTAAACCCCCAAACCCCCCAGGCTGGATTGACCTCAAGCTGCGAACCGCCACTGCCAGCTTCCCTGCCTTATTCTGACCGTCGCTACCTCCGCCACCGCCTCCCTTAGCCTTGGTCTGGGGTGTTGGGAGGTTAGGATTCAACATTTTAGGCTTAGGGTTTAGGGTTTTGGTTTATAGGTTTTAAGGTTTTGGGATGTGAGGCTCTACACTTGGAGGTTCATGGGTAGTTATAGGTAGGGTTATAAGTAGGTAACTATACATATAACCCCTTATTAGGGGACTTATAACCCCACTTGTAACTACCCCTGAACCTCCAAGTAGGGTATAGAACTCCATTATAGATCCCTTATAGACACCTTTAACCACTATACTATTGCAAGTTTAGGCTTTATAAGGCTCCAGGATTTTCGGTTTCAAACCAATGGGTTTCAGGCCGCAGGCCTCCGAGCCATGTCGATGTTGCGATGCTGGTCCCATACTTGGAGCTTGAGGGGTAGTTATAAGTGGGGTTATAAGTCCCCAAGCCCAAAATGGGTTATAAGTATAGTTACACTTATAACTACCCATGAATCTGTAAGGTAGCTCGTACGAGCCTTCTTTGCCGCAGTGTGTTGACGCAGTGGTTACGCGTTGCATTTGGGGGTCGGAAGAAACAGAGCACAGAATCGCTTGCTAATTACAGCGTTCGACCTTTCTTCCGGTTTACTTGCCATGGGCATGGAGGCCGTTCGCTAGAAGGGGTCACGCAGTGACTATGATCCGCTGAGAAGGCCCGTAACGAATAGAGCTTTTCACCAAAGCCAGCTGAAGACGACGTGACCAGTTCTACTACCATTATCACTACCATTTCCACCATACCGATACCGCTGCAGCTACTGCAACCACTACTACTACCACTGCTACACTGCTACAGCTACCGCTACCACTACCACTCGCACGACCACCACTACCAATAGCTGCTTACCTACCTATCTACCTTCCACCGACCCATCTACCCACCGACCCACACTACCCGCTCGCCTGACTGCCTGCCTAGCTACCGCTGCATGTTGATTCTGATGATGACGATGACGATAACTATGTGACGATGACGATGCCGATCACGATTGTGAGAGGGAAAGGAAAACCGCTTCGATTTTGCCCTTGTTACCCCATGGCGATGATGACGATGATGATGACGATGATGATGGCAATGATGATGGCCATGGTGTTGTTGTCGATGCCGATGCCGATGATGATGACAATAATAATGGTCATGATGACGATGATGGTGATGATGATGGCGGTGACGACGACGACGACGACCACGACGACGGCCACGATGATGATGATGATGACGATAGTGACGGTGATGATGATGATGGTTATGATGTGTCGATGATGATGTTGGTGATGATGATTCTGATGGTGATTATGATGATGCTGAATGTGTGACCCGAGCGGCCATCACCTCGCCGAATCTCGAATCTCCGCCGTCACTACCGTCTCCTCCGCCAACACTTCCACCGGCGCCGCCGGCACCTACCTCGACGGTGTAAAAGGTGCCCTCGGTGACCTGCACACAGGTGGAGGGTTTGCTGTTGCTAAATTCAGTGACTTTCTTCTCGTTTGACTACATTTGATTGAATCATGGGAGAATGAAAGCCACACGAGTTAAGAAGAAAACCAGATTTGCTTTGGAATTTAAGTGCGGTTCTTTCTTCTTTTCACATCCTGTTACACCGCGCATTACATTTCTTGTGCTTGTGGCTTTCCTTGAATATTGAAGATCGAGATGCGGTGTGTGTTTAATAAGAAGAAAAACAATGCTCTCTTCCAGGATATTTAGTTGTATTGTTGCTCTTTATTAAATTAAACCAAACGAAAACTCCAATCGTTTATCACACCTTCCATTATGCCACTGGATGGAACACCACATGTCCCTGGTTTAATTGGTAACTTACTGTGCTTTCTTCTAGTGAATTCTCTTCCGTTGGCTCTTGTAAAATCCGTCCAACATCTTATGTTGAGTGAATCAAATGCTGTGCGACTGGGGGTTCCGAGCATCGGGCAGGAAGGGCTTCATGGCTTTGCATTCCCTGCTGAGCGTCTCACGGACCGCAGTTTACTGGGAGACCAAGGGCAACGGGCATCTGCAATTCGCCATGTGAGCTTCCCTCAATTCACCTCAGCCCGAGCCTGTGTAGCATAGTAGGCTTTTGTCAATTCTTGTATCGAAGATGCTCCCAACATGACTGAAACGGGATGACAGGCAAAGAGTATAGGCTGTTTGATAGAGGGTCACAAGGCTTATAATGTTCAGCAGTTGCTTGTCCATTCATCGTGCCATTGCGGTGCAACCTTAATTATTCTTGGGGCGGCATGGATGCTCTGGTTTTCGGGAGCACTGTTCATGGACGTCGTTGCATGGGCGGGCATGGATGCTCTGTAGCGAATATGGCATATGGTGCTGGTAATGGTAGTAGCATGTGGTGGTGGTAGCAGTAGTACCACGACGTTTGCCCAGACATACGTGTGCAAAACGCTGCGGGACACGGCAGGGTGCTGATAATCGTGGTTCGGCATCTTTGCGAAGTTTATGACAGACCTGCACTGCTCCGAAAGAGCAAGTGGAGCAAATACTGGCAGGCACTGCAAACGCGCTGGTTCTACTTTTGTGTTGTTCAGAACCCGAAATAGTTTTCGTAGGAACTGCCGGCAGGGCCCCCCAACATGTTTGGCCCAATTTCGCGGTTTTCCCCGGCGCGTCTGCCTCCGAGAAGGAACGACACAGCGTCTCGGTAAAAGATCTGATGCGCGACCGCAGCGGCAGCTACCTTTTGAAGCCCTAAGTGCTCCAGCAAGAAGTGGGCGCTCACACACGTCATTATAGTTTGGCCATGGATGCTGAGAGGTCACCGTGCGTTAGACCATGCGCATCAATATGGTCGGGCCAGGATGCTGCGAAGAACAAGTTAGACCATGCACGTCAGTAGGGCCAGGATGCTGCGAACTCGCAACGCAACAGAAAATGCAAGTCATGATGGTTGGGCCAGGATGCTGTGAACTCACGACGCAATAGACCATGAACGTCATGGTTGAGCCAGGATGCTGTGAACTCACAATGCATTGGTGCATTGTGCCATGGACGCAAGTCTGGCCAAACACCGCGGGCGGAGCTTAGTGGTAATAACATGAAAATAGCAAAAGTCCGCGCTCTTGCTCTCCCCAGGCGTAAAAGTGCTAAAACTTGCCCCGAAGCTCCTTGCCCTAGACCCCCGGAATGAAGCCCCGACGCACCCCACACCCAAACCACTCGACATGAACAATGTCAACCTCGAGACCTTCTTCTCCGATAAAGTTTCTTGGTGCCGTTCATATCTTGGAGGTTCAGGTGTCAGCCGTTGACTTGGAGGTTCAGGTGTCAGTTATAAGTAGGGTTATAAGTAGTGTAGCTACACTCATCACCCTTATAACCCCACTTATAACTACCCTCTGAACCTTCAAGTAGGGCCTTTACGATTTAGGATTCAGCGGAACCCAGCCTCGAAGCAGTCCATCGTGACCAAACCACCACCGGCGCCACCGCCACCGGAGCGGCCACCTCAGTTTTCAGGGTATAAATTTGGGTTGAGGGTTTGGGGTTTAGGATACCGCTACATCTCGCTGTTTGGGGGAAGCTGTGGGATCGATCCGTGTTTACATAGGGGCCCTCAAGCTTGACGAGGTGTCTTTGGGGAGCGCTTCTTCACGAAAGTGGCGCCTAGGCTTTTGATTTCGGGCTTTGCCGCTTTGAATTTCAGGGCTCGGGGCTTGAAGTTTTGGATACCCTAAACCCTACTTGGGCAGGCTTTGGGGATTGAGGCTTCGAGCTTGCGCTTCGGGGTGTAGGTTCGTTCAGAACCTAAGAGGAACTTAGGAGGTAAGATGAGGCTATCGATGGTTGCCCACGGACACCTATACCCAACTCTACACCTTATGAAAACGTGTGCTCAAAACCCTACTCTAAAACCTAGTACTAGACCCAAAAACCGTATCAATCAAGGTGTTCACAAACTCGACTCCTTTGAATCTTCCTTTTGCAGTAAACTCCCGTTTGGGCGGGTCTGACTCTAAACAAGAAACTCCAATAAATCTGAAGGAGCATCCATCAGCAGTTGCATCCTGAACCCTAAACCCTAAACTCCCAAACGGACCCAAGGAGACTGAACTGCTCCCGGGACACCACCGCCGCCACCGCCGCCAACCACCAAGATCTGAGACGCACGTTTAGGGTTCACGGTGTAGGGTTCTGTTATTTTGGCTTAGGGTTTAGGGTTTAGGGTCTAGGGTTCAGGGTTGTCTTTTAGTCTATGTTGACACGCCTTTAGGGTTCAGGGTTTAGGGTTCAGGGTTCGGGGTTCGGGGTTTAGGGTTTAGGGCTTTTCGGGCTTAGGGTTTTGAGGTTTACTGTTTGGGCTCCTCACCCCCTGAGACTGGTCGCAAGGTATCAATTGGGTACGGCCCCCACTCAGTAATAGTTGAATAATCTTCATAAAAAAAAAAAAAATATATATATATATATATATAGATATATATATATATAGTAGGACCGTAATAGTAGCCCCATTCTAGACTCTTACTGTATGGGGGCCGTACTTAAGGTATCAATGGCAAAACTGCTGGCCATGGCCAGAAGACCGGCTGCGATGCTTGACTTATAGGGTCCTTAAAGGAGGGTGGTTCAAGCCGGGGAAGGTACATGGGGAACCTTTAGGGAACCTTAGGCTGTGACGCTTAACACATGGATCAACAGTAACATACAATAACAAGAAGGATAACATCTTTATGGTCTCTCGAAGATTACAGATAGTCTTGCTGCTGCGGCGGAAGGAACACTTTCCGTTGCTGCTGCTGCGGAAGGAATACTTTCCGAAGCCAGTCCCCTTATATAGGTCTAAACCCTAAACCCTAAACTCTAAACCCTAAACCCTGAACCCTAAACTCACTCTGAACTCTAAACCCTAAACTCTAAACCCTAAAACCTATAATCCTAAACCATAAACCCCAACAAGCCCGACAATAGGGGAAAGAGGAGCCGAACATCAACAAATCTCGGTTGATCTTGTAACATAGGGTTTAGGGTTTGCGTTTTAGGGCTTAGGGTTTAGGGTAACATACATTACCAGTAGTATTATTGGTTTGGCATTTGGTTTAGGGGTTAGCGTGTAGGGATTTACGGTTTAGGGCTTGAGGGTCTAATGGAGGGGCCTTGATAATTAGAATAGGGTTATGGGTGCCGTTATACCATTGTTTTAATCAGGAACCCCGGAATTGCAAGGTAATTATTTAGGCCCCTGTTATGGGCATGTCGCCTACATAATAGGCTCTGAAAGGAGAATGCCACAAAAAGGGGCCTGTACTCAATCCTGATCCCACCCAGGCCCAGGCCCCACGCCGTCCCTAAGCCCTACCAATTCCGAAAATTTGCTAAAAGAAAACATACAATACCATGACAGGGGTTTTCAGCTTGGTAAGTAGGACTATAAATGCTGTGTAAAGAACGCCTTGTAAAGCCTCTGCAGAACGCTCATATACGCCTTCAAGACCCCGCAAAAAGCCTACCTGCTAAGTTCCCTGATCCTTTAACCCAAACCCTAAGCCCTAAGCCCTAAACCCTCTATCTTAAACCCTAAACCCTAAACCCGAACCCTAGTCCCCTGACGCTCTAACCGCCCACGGGCACTCCTTCGCACAGCCGGTGAAGGTCGCCGTCCAGGTGCCGTCCTCCGTGAAGGTCCTTCGCGCCACTTCGGGAGTTTCCGAAAATTAAGGGATCTATAAGGGTTCCTTAAAGGGATCCATGAAGGTTCTATAAAGGGTTTAGAGTTTCCGAAATTTAGGGGAACCCTATTTTGGGGTCCTTATGATAAGGATCCTACTATTTAGGGTACTATATTAGGGTCCCCGATTTTCGGAAGCTCCCACTTCGGGCATGCTGGGTGTCACAGGGTAAAGGCTTCAGGGGAAAGGGTGTAGGGTATAGGGCTCAGGGAACAGGGTTAGGGTTTAGGCTCAAGGGTGTGAGGTTTCACGGAAAAGGGTCAAAGGTTGAGGGGCTTTTCCAAACTGCTCTATGGCGTTTATCAGAAACTCAATAGCTGGCTCTGTGTTGTTGAGGCGGATTCAGGGGGCTGAGTATGCTATGTATAGCATTAGCATAAATGCTTCAGTCAGAGCTAAGACCTTTTTTCTGGTATTGCTGAGGCCCATATGCTGCCGTCTGTGGGGAATTGTACCAACATGTACCAGGCAGCAAAAGAGAATGGAAAACCATAGTCTATACAATGATATACTGTACTATACAATCATGCACCTCACAATACATGTACACTATGCAGCAATGTACGCTAATATGAAACGCCATATAATCAGATATATTGTTGTATGCTGTATTGGAATGTATTGCATGATTCTTTATATGTCAAGTTATATTATGTTATGTTGTCTTCTGCTGGAGTGCATTGTTGATGTTATGCTACATTACATAATATCATCCACTTTCTGCAACTGAGGTTGCACCCCCGGCAAGTGCGGGTGGCTAAACAAGTTGGGAAATCAGACCGTGTGATACTCAACTCTTGGTGACTCCCCGCCGACACAGGGTCTGGAGGCACACTGAAAGCCACTGCGGCTAGCTTCCCAGGACCAGTGCTTGGGGTTCAGGGTGCAGCTTCTGAATAAACCCTCCGTCATGTAGGCGGATCTTCTCTTTGCATGGTCTATCTTCAAGAAAGAGACGCGCACAAGCTACGAGTGCCTAGAGGGCTAAGAAACTTCCACCCTCACTTAAGAACTTACTTGGGAGTTTCCGAAAATTGGGCGTACCGTAGTATTTTGGGTCCTCGTAACAAGGATCCTGATTAGGATCCCCTGTTCTCGGAAACTCCCACTTCCTTACTGTAATTCTGACTGGTGGGCTTGTTTGTTTACTCACCTGCGTAAGTACTTACTCATCTGCTTTGAAGCATAGTTGCTTCTGGCTTTCTTACAGACTAAACCCTAAACCCTAAAGACTAAACCCTAATGAGCTAAAAACTAAGCCCTAAACCCTAATGAGCTAAAGACCTAAGCCCTAAACGATGTCCCGTGCCACGTCAGTGTTCGCCTGATCCAAGATTTGCAGCGTGCTGTCAATGCGATTGCTTGCATGTCGCAGCCTTCGAGGCCAGACCCAGTTGCACCCACAGTTTGTCCACCGGGATGTCGCCTGTGGGGACGACGTCCACCAAGACTACCCGGTATTCCCACTGGTTGCAGGCCTGCACCGTTTGCGGTGTGATTCAAGATACTTCCGAGTTGGCCCGTGCCTCCTGGAAGTCGTCAATGGCGGCGCTCAGATCTTCCAGAGTCACGTTGGCAGCGAGGTCGCTTCCTGTAGTAGATGTGCTTTCTTTCAGTCGCTAATAAGATGTTGGAAGTGGAGCCGTTATGTGTCGTCCTGCCGATCTTGCAGCGACGGCGTCTCCAGCAGTTTCCACAAGTGCCGAGCGAAGCCGCCGCCGTCGAATCCTCGTCCCCACGCCGGATGTACCGGCACGGGGACTAAGGTCGCCGTGGTCGCCGCCGCGCTGTTGCTCGGCCTTCGGCGTTCCATTAGAATACAACGGCCTTGTGTTTTGGTTTTGCAGGCCTTAATCTTGGAGACCGTGCAGAGGGTGGAGTCGGAGACGACGAGGTTAAAGCCCTGGCGCAATGAAATATTTTCACGACCGACGAGAAAGGGCAAGTGGCTGGACTCCTCGCAGTGTCGCACGATCCTGCCTTTGCCATCTCCGCCACGAGCGAGCAGAACATTCGCATGCCCGCGTCGCTCAGGTGGCACGAGTCCGCGTAGAACTCGTGGCCTGGCGCTAACGACCTCCTTGCATGCTGTGCGGTTTGACAACCCGCCTGGCACGCGAGCAGCTTCGAGAATGTCTGCCATCGGCTCCACCCTCATCTCCGCTGCAGCCGCAATAACCTGCAGGCAGGGCACTCGCGCAAGCCGTAACGTCTTGGAAGAAAGCGAACCTCGTATTTAGCGATGCGGCTCATGTCCTCGGAACGTCGCGTGGGTTTCGATGGTGTTACTGCACCAACCCAAGAGATTACTTTAGAATGTCTAGCTGAGCATGGAGCGGCACGACGCAGAACAGGTACACGAGGAGGCTCTTGAATTGCCGGATTGAGCCGGAAACTGCATCGCTAATCGGCCTCGCCGCCATTTCTTGCGACTCGAATGTCACTTTGGCATCCGCTACAAGGTGCAAGTTTTTTTTTACCGGGAACGGCATGCGTGCGCGTTTCCTTCGACGGTGATGCGCAGCTACGTATGCAAATCATTCGGTGCCAACCTTACAATATGTATGATGATAGAACGTCCCTGGCATTCACCCGAGCGCATCAGAAGCTGGTCGCCGCTCGTGCCATGCAATTGAAACACAATCACATACGGGGGGATCGCCGGACCTGGCAGATGGTGCCTTATGGTCCCCGGCCGATCTAGAGAAGCTTTCAGCCGGATTCATGAAGGTTTCATCGCCTGGGGTCGGCACACACGCAGTTGCGTGACGCTCGGCGGCCGCGGCTCTCGCTCGGATCGCCTCGATGGGACTGCATGATTTATTTCAAATCAAGGGTCAGGAGGCGCCTTGTCTATCTTCCGTTGCTTCTCAAGCCGGGAGCTTTTTAAGTCTGTTTGCAGAAGTCGTTTCCGTCGTGGAAGTGCTACACCACGAAGCTCCGGCGCTGGTTCTGGCAAGGAATACTCCGCGGTGACATTGCTGTGCATCCAGGCAGAAAAATACATGTGATCATCTTACGTGAGTCGGAAATATAGGGTTAGGGTTCAGGCTAAGGTTATGTGTCAAGAGAACCAAACTTCACGAAGCAGAAGGAGCGTGCTGAGTGTCCCACCACGATGGCGTGAGATCCGAGCAACGCCCGGATTTAGGAATTTGCTCGCGCATGCTGAGGTTCTCACGATTTGATGTCTTCGATCTGTGCTTGGCTTCCGGCATTCTGTTCGATTGAGCCAACGATATGGCCGGTGGGCTTCGTCGTCGCAACGGAATGTGACATGTGCATGGTTCAGTCGTCGAACCTAGCTGTGCAGGTCTCGCTGACGCTTTTTGAGCAGACCAGGCGCTCTTCCGAAGGGCCGCGCTCACAGCTGCTGGATCCTTGACAGAGAGCTATTGGCGGAGACTTATTTCGGCCGCTAAGCTCCGGACACCTTCGATGAGATCACGTCTGCCTAGCCAGGCGACCAGCGCAGCAGCGGTGCACGTCCACGAGGGCAAGTTTCGCTACCGGGCGCTGAGCTGCAGTCCGATCTGTAGCTGTCCTCTTAGGTTTCCTCGCGAAGTCGCAGGGATGTCGCGAACCCGCGATTTGTAGCAACGAACAGCAGCCTTGAGGTAGCTGAGTGGCACGGCGTCCACAATCAGCAGCCGCACGTTCGCCTCTTCGTAGTCCTGCGATGGATGCTTCGGTAGATGATTACAATTCGGTGCTTGATGCCTGAATCATCTTCAGCCTGAGCCCGGAGCCCTGAAACCACTTCATGGTGCTGAATATGTGGGAGTCTCCGAAAATCGGGGGACCCTAATATAGTACTCTAAACCCTAGGCATCTAAGGACTCATATATTAAGGCTTTTGGGCCCAAAGACCATATGATATAAGGCTTTTGGGCTATTTTGATGCCCAGGGAAATAGTAGGATTCTGATTATCAGGATCCCAAAATGAGGTACCCCTAATTTTCAGAAACCCCCATGTGGCTTTGGGCTTAGTGCTTAGGGCTTAGGGCCCAGGTCTTCGGGCTTAGGGATTAAGATTCAGATGTGGAGCTTTTTGGTGCTCCCCTCCCCCACTGAGCCCTAAACCCTAAACAGACAAAAATGAGGCTTCGGGTTTAGGGTTTAGGGTTCAGGGTTTAGGGTTCAGGGTTTAGGGTTTAGGGTTTAGGGTTTACGGTTTCGGGTTCAGGGTTTAGGGTTTAGGGCTCCGGACCCCAAGCCCTGACACACTAGACCCTCAGACAATGAACGTGAAGACCTCCCGATGCCAAACCCTAAACCCAAGGATCCAAAACGCAAGGATCCTAAACCCCAAACGCAAGGATCCTAAACCCAAAGATCCTAAACCCTAAACCCTAAAGGATCCCAAACCCAAGGATCCTAAACCCTAACCCTGAAGCCAGAGCCCTAAACCCTAAAACCCTAAGCCCTACACCCTGAACCCTAAACCCGAAACCCTAAATCCTAAACCCTAACCCTGAAGCCTGAGCCCTGAACCGCAGCAACCCAAGAGTCCCCAAACCAACATCCACAGGGACCTCCCCCTTTAAAGGCTTGCTATCAGGGTACTATCAAGGGTTCCTTTTAAAAGGTTACTATAGGGGCACTATAAGGGCTCCTTTCAAGGGCTCTATAAGGGTTTCCCCTAAGGCACAGATGCCAGACAATGAAACCCTTTCCGGAAAATAAGGACCGTAATATAGCGCCGTAACTAGTCGAATCCTCATTGTAAGAACCCCAAAATCAGGCACCCCAATTCTTCGGAAGCCCTAAACCCTTCTAGAGCCCTTTAAAGGAACCCGTATGGTGCCCTTATAGTAACAGTAACCCTTTAAAGGAACCCTAAACCCTTATAGAGCCCTTTGAAGGAACCCTTATAGTACCCTTATAGTAACTTTTATAGTACCCTTATAGTAAGCCTTCAAAGGAACACTTATAGTAACCCCTTAACGGAACCCTTATAGTACCCTTGTAGTAACCCCTTAAAGGAACCCTTATAGTACCCTTATAGTACTTATAGTACCCTTATAGTAACCCCTTAAAGGAACCCTTATAGTACCCTTATAGTAACCCTCCAAAGGAACCCTTATAAAGGAACCCTTATAGTACCCTTGTAGTAACCCCTTAAAGGAACCCTTTTAGTACCCTTATAGTACCCTTATAGTAACCCCTTAAAGGAACCCTTATAGTACCCTTATAGTAACCCTTCAAAGGAACCCTTATAGTAACCCCTTAAAGGAACCCTTATAGTAACCCGTTAAAGGTACCCCGAGAGGAGTCCGGCGGGAGGGTGCCGCGACGTTCGTCTGCAGAGCCGCCATACCCTCAGAGCTTGGGCCGTTCCGGTGCGAAGGAATGTACTGGGAGGTCCCGAACATTTGGGGTACCTCATTTTGGGGTCCTTATGCTAAGGATCTTACTTGGAAGTTCAGGTGTAGATATAGTATATTGGTTCCTTTAAGGGGTCCTATAAGGGATCTACAATGGAGTTCTATGACCTACTTGGTGGTTCAGGGGTAGTTATAAGTGGGGTTATAAGCCCCCTAATGTGGGTTACAAGTATAGCGATCCTACTTATAACCCTACTTATAACTACCCATGAACCTCCACGTACAGGCGTCTGCCGAGAATCCGAATATTTAGGATTTGGGGTTTGGGGTTTGGGGTTTCGGGTTTAGGGTTGCGGATTTGGGGTTTAGGCCTAAGCTGGGAACCTGCAAAAACTCATCCCCATCAGCCATAGCCCCTTCACCTCCGCCTGGGCCTTCTTGACGGCGTTGAAGCGTGACTCACAATCCTTCTCCCACCATTTCAATGCTTGGGTTCCTCCCTGGCTGCCGTCAGGGTCATGCTTCTCATTGAAAGCAGCATCCTTCATCGCTGCCCGCCGCGGGCTCATGTCCCGGACGCCTGCAGCCACTGCTGTGTTCAGAGTCTCGAGGCCGGCGAAGTGCGCGACGCTAGCAGGTGTGCGACGTTCTGGCCTTTGCCCAGGGTTTGGGGTGTAGTGAGTGTATCAAACTCCCTCGCGGCGACGTTTTGCATTCTGTAGAAACAGCCCCTTGACTAACTCCTACACGGGCCCTTATCAAACCAACCGCAAGAATCCGGAAAAAGCCACGAAGACAGTAAACCCTGAAAGAATCCCGAAGCCGTAAGCCCGAACACCGAAGCCTCAATACTTGTATGAAAGAGGTATAATAAAGTACAAAAAACAATGAGAAACCCTGGGGCCCAGTGTTGGTAATTATTGAAGCTGTTGTCGCTAAAACCCTAAGCCTTCGAACCACCAACCCCTAAACTGCTAAAGCTTACAGATCATCACGCCCTAGACCGTAGCCGTGAAACCCTCAACCACCAAACCCCGAAACCGAAACTCACTAATGCAGGTGCCTTAATCATTACCTATACTGTTTTTTTTGTTGGGTGGTGCCTTATTCTGCTTGTAATAATAATGGGCACCGAAACCCTATTCTTCTTATTGAGGCCCCTATACTAAACCCCCAGAATACCCGTTAGAGTAATCCTGATAGACCCCTTCAAAGGAACTCTTGAAGGAATACTATGCTAATGATTTAAGCCCCAAAAACCGGACTCCCCCACACCCTAATCCCTTCGGCCCCACTCCTTACCTTTGGTTAGGAGGGAATGGAAGAACGGTAGTAATAGTAGTTATATAGTAGTTATATAGTAGTAATATGGTAGTAATATGGTAGCAAGATGATAGTAATATGGTAGTTATATGGTAATAATAGTAGTTACCAAAGGTAAGACTCTTCCAGAGCCACGGCCCTGTGCCCGCCTCGCTGGAGGGCATCAGCTTAAAAAGCCGCGCCTGAGGTCCGGCCCAGCCTGTGACCTGCTTTGTGAAGGGGGTTCGAATAGAGTTTAGGGCCGTTTAGGGCATGGGGTTTAGGGTTTAGGGGGTTCGAATAGAGTTCAGGGCCGTTTAGGGCATTGGGTTTAGGGTTAAGGGGGTGTTGGATATAGCAAGGAAAGCTATGGATGTAGGCTTTCTTCTTTGAGCTCCTTTTCTGCGAAGCCGGACGCTCTCGAGAGGCAGTAATGCTAGCAGAGCTAGCCACATTTTGGGCGCAGGGTTTAGAGTCTAGTGCGCCGTCGGTGTTTAGCAGGGCTTCTGTTCTGCTTGAAGGTTCAGGGGTAGTTATAAGTGGGGGTAAAAGTCCCCTAATATGGGTTATAAGTATAGTTACCCGACTTATAACCCTACTTATAACTACCCATGAACCTCCAAGTACAAGCCTCCTCAACTGCTTGCTTCTTTTTGTTCTGGTCCTCTGCTAGGTTCGGACCTTACGGGTCAGCGTATACATGGTACCATCCGTAGAGGCTCGGAATGTAGAGCTTCAGGTATATATGGTATCATAGATCCCTTGAGCTCCGAGGCTTTGTTGTCGGGAGACATCAGAGGAGATGGCGAGCGTCCAGTCCGAGTCTGAGAGCAGGTGAGTGAGTATAAGGGTTGAGGGTTTAGGGTCTATAGGGGTTGAGGGGCTAGGGTTTAAGGCTTAAGGTTTGTAGGTTCTAGGGTTTGGGGCTTAGGGGTTTAGGGTTTATGGTTTAGGCAGAGCAGTACGACGCCTGCTGTGCTTATGACAGTTGTAGTAGCCATCATCATCCTCACCATCATTATACGAGCATGGTCATTGTAGCTAGTGTTGTGGCTTCTGCTATGGCTATCATTCTTGATTCTGCGTATGCATAGTGCTGTCAGCACTGTGTTTGCTTACCCTAAATTTACTAAACCCTAAACCCTCAACCACAAGGGGTTAAAGAGTCATTTCGGGTGGCTATGCCTTTTCTGGGCTGCTAAGGGCCAATGCACAACAGAAGAAGATTGACGACGCAAGAGAACCGAGCCAACATGTGTTCGCCCAAAAGTAAGACGAGGCTAGCAGCACGCAAAAATGAGAAATGCTGCGAGTAGCCGTTTGTTTTTCCACACTCTTAACCCCACAGAATCCCAACTTTATCCGGTCAACACTCGTGCCTGTGACAGCAACTTCGCCGGGCAAGCGCTGCTTGCTTTGACGGTCATGTTCCTCAGCTTGGGGTGGTGGGATTTAGGTTTCCGCGAGAAGAACAAAGGGTGAAAGCCACGCGGCCTCAATCCATCTACGGCCAAGCTCAAATGTTGACCGCTCGGTTCAGGCAGGGCTTTAGGCGTGACCTAAACCTTCAAGGCCCGGAAGCCTGAAACTTAGGCTATAGCCCAAACCTACCGTGTACAGGCACGGAGCCGGGCTGCACAGTGAGCAATCTTAACTACACTGAGCATCGACAGCCCTGCAGCCCAAAATGCGAAAACCACTCCCAAAAAATCCAGACGTCCTAAATCCACAAACGCAAACACCAGGATAAAACAAGAAACAAACTAAAGTATCTTGAATATCTTAACAATACACATAACAATAATGGTAATGGTAATAATAAAAGGTTCTAATAAATATCATTAATAACAATGGCAACACTAGTAACAATAACAGCAATAGGAACAACATTAGTAACATAAGTAAGGACAATAACAATAACAACTGATAATAGGCGTACCTATAGCAATAAATGTAACAAGACAATAGCCATACTAAACAATTAAAGGACCGGATAACCCCACATGTGAAGCTTGTCTATTGGTAGACAATCTAAAGACGCAAAAGAGTGAATGAAGATGGGAGTAAATGGATGAGTGATTGAAAGAATAAGTGTGTGCTGTTGTGACCACGTGTGTGTGTGTGTATGTATAGATGCGATAGAGCTGAGATCTGTTCTAGTGACCGCCGCTGGCACGTCGTTCTGCGCTGCACTTCCGGAGTGTGTGTGTGTGTGGCAGGGCCGGGAGGGTCTTTAGTCGCGGAAGAGTCTCGCCCCAAGGCGCGCGCGGCCTTGGCCAGAGCAGGCCCCGGACGGTCTTTAGTCGCGGAAGAGTCTCGCCCCCAGGGTCTTTAGTCGCGGACTTTAGTTGCGGAAGAGTCTCGCCCCAAGGCGCGCGCGGCCTTGGCCAGAGCAGGCCCGGGAGGGTCTTTAGTCGCGGAAGAGTCTCGCCCCAAGGCGCGCGCGGCCTTGGCCAGAGCAGGCCCGGGAGGGTCTTTAGTCGCGGAAGAGTCTCGCCCCAAGGCGCGCGCGGCCTTGGCCAGAGCAGGCCCGGGAGGGTCTTTAGTCGCGGAAGAGTCTCGCCCCAAGGCGCGCGCTTGGCCAGAGCAGGCCCGGGAGGGTCTTTAGTCGCGGAAGAGTCTCGCCCCAAGGCGCGCGCGGCCTTGGCCAGAGCAGGCCGGGAGGGTCTTTAGTCGCGGAAGAGTCTCGCCCCAAGGCGCGCCGCGGCCTTGGCCAGAGCAGGCCCGGGAGGATCTTTAGTCGCGGAAGAGTCTCGCCCCAAGGCGCGCGCGGCCTTGGCCAGAGCAGGCCCGGGAAGGTCTTTAGTCGCGGAAGAGTCTCGCCCCAAGGCGCGCGCGGCCTTGGCCAGAGCAGGCCCGGGAGGGTCTTTAGTCGCGGAAAAGTCTCGCCCCAAGGCGCGCGCGGCCTTGGCCAGAGCAGGCCGGGGAGGATCTTTAGTCGCGGAAGAGTCTCGCCCCAAGGCGCGCGCGGCCTTGGCCAGAGCAGGCCCGGGGAGGATCTTTAGTCGCGGAAGAGTCTCGCCCCAAGGCGCGCGCGGCCTTGGCCAGAGCAGGCCGGGGAGGATCTTTAGTCGCGGAAGAGTCTCGCCCCAAGGCACGCGCGGCCTTGGCCAGAGCAGGCCCGGGAGGGTCTTTAGTCGCGGAAGAGTCTCGCCCCAAGGCGCGCGCGGCCTTGGCCAGAGCAGGCCCGGGAGGGTCTTTAGTCGCGGAAGAGTCTCGCCCCAAGGCGCGCGCGGCCTTGGCCAGAGCAGGCCCGGGAGGGTCTTTAGTCGCGGAAGAGCCTCGCCCCAAGGCGCGCGCGGCCTTGGCAAGAGCAGGCCGGGAGGGTCTTTAGTCGCGGAAGAGTCTCGCCCCAAGGCGCGCGCGGCCTTGGCCAGAGCAGGCCGGGAGGGTCTTCTTTAGTCGCGGAAGAGTCTCGCCCCAAGGCGCGCGCGGCCTTGGCCAGAGCAGGCCCGGGAGGGTCTTTAGTCGCGGAAGAGTCTCGCCCCAAGGCGCGCGCGGCCTTGGCCAGAGCAGGCCCGGGAGGGTCTTTAGTCGCGGAAGAGTCTCGCCCCAAGGCGCGCGCGGCCTTGGCCAGAGCAGGCAGGGAGGGTCAGTCGCGGAAGAGTGTCCCCCAGGCGCGCGCGGCCTTGGCCAGAGCAGGCCCGGGAGGGTCTTTAGTCGCGGAAGAGTCTCGCCCCCAGGGCGTGCGCGGCCTTGCCCAGAGCAGGCAGGGAGGGTCTTTAGTCGCGGAAGAGTCTCGCCCCAAGGCGCGCGCGGCCTTGGCCAGAGCAGGCCGGGAGGGTCTTTAGTCGCGGAAGAGTCTCGCCCCAAGGCGCGTGCGGCCTTGGCCAGAGCAGGCCGGGAGGGTCTTTAGTCGCGGAAGAGTCTCGCCCCAAGGCGCGCGCGGCCTTGGCCAGAGCAGGCC